TGTAATATTAATATCTACTTTTTGATATTTGTATGCATTGAATTAATCTTATTGGACGGCTAGTTATTTATATGTTTTTGAATTGGGCTACGTTAATTTGTAAAAGTTACGAATGAAATGTCATTAGTTGTATTTATGTAGTGTTGCTATAAATGTTAAAAAAATTAATTATGGTACGGAACCGAACCGAATCGAACCGAACCGACCCACGGACAGCTCTAAGTAGCGGAGTGCACCGAGCGGAACAGAACGGATTGAATATATATAGATGATGTAACCATATTATTCATACTGAATAAAATCATCCCTATTTCGCTCTTATGAATATGTAAAGACGATGTCGGCACATTGTCTTGTGTTGATTTTCTTCTTTCACTTCTCTATTATTCATCATCTAATAGCGCGTGTAAATCCAACAAAATTGAATTAAAAATAATAATTCTTCATTTATGTTCAAGTAAAAGAAGAATATTGCAATATTGATGCTTCGGAAGAAGCATTATGCTCTTATCTATATTTCGTAATGTTAATGTATTGTTACTCTTGAAGAAGTATAACTTAATTTGAATAGTATGAAAAAAAATTGTATTCATGACCCCAAAAACACAATCAAAATACATAAATATTCAAGAAAAGTATTATTTTGTTATCCTTTAAAATCAGAACTTCAAACAAATTAATAATCTAAAAGAATATTGTATTAATATCGAAGATTAGCTTTCGTACCCAAACACTTTAGAAGGATATATTTCTATTTAAATATAAAATTACGTTTGTTACTTGTATAGTTCAAACTCAACCAAAACAATAATTTCTCGCATTTGCTATAAGTAAAAATTGATTCTTCCATCAAACTTCTGTATGTCATATTTGAAACCTAGCATATATTTTCTATGATTAGCCACTTCAAACAACTTGATGCTCTGATCTCACTTTTTAAAAATTGAGACCGCTTTCTCAATTTGTCTACACGATCCTTGTTCAGAGAATTTATTTAGAAATAAGAACATATAAAATAAATGAAAATAATAACATTATATTTGTGAAAAAAACTCCCAAATCAAAGAAAATTAATCACCGGCTGTCAAAAATAGAGATCTTCCACTACATAAAAAAAAATTGTAAAATCGTAATTTAATTAGATAATACCAAATCAAAATCCTAACAAATAGTTCATCCAGTGATTGATTAATAAATTAGATGGGCAGAAGAAAGAATAAACGAAATGGATTCTAGATTAAAAGATAGAAGAAGAAGAAGAAGGGTCATCTCTGTTGGATTAAATTTCTAAACAATTTTCTATGAAATTCAAGGCCAAAAGATTGTCCTTGGGAGCTAGAAAATACTTCGTTATTAATTTTCCAATTCTTTCTCAAGTTCTTCAATTCGATTTATTTTATTTTCTCTATGAAATTGTAGGTGGAAGTTTATTTTTTTGATTGAGGGTGAGTGGCTACATAGGAACTTTGTCATTAATTTGCAGTAAATGAGGTTTCCTAAATTTGCAGAAAAGACATCACCAGCCATAATACTTATTACAAAATCTTGCATGGATTGAAAGATACATCGCAATAAGAACAAGACATGCACTGTTTTCTAATATACATCAATACCATCAAACGAAGAAGAAGAAGCAGCAGCAGGTTCATGACCCGACCCAAAAGATGCAATATGGTCTTTCAGTGACCTTTTGTGCTTGAAATCAGACCCGCAAATGCAAAGCCAGCGTCTGCCACAATTCTTTTCATGGGTTCGCCAATCACCTTTAACAGCCAAGCACTTGCCACATTTTCGACATGCAAATTGCTTCATCCCATGTTTTCTCTTGTAATGTGTTTGTAGGGTCCTAAAATCCTTGAGCGGTTTGGCCCTCGGGGTGTTTATGTTGTTCTTGCACCCTTCTTCACAGCAATAGCATGGAATACCTAGCATGGCTCGCGGTTTCGCTCCCTTAAGAGATTCAGGCCCTCTGCGATATTCCGAACCATGACCCCACATATGCATCTGCAACAAAAAAATGCATTCAATACAATTAGGGTGAAGCCATGGAGGACAAAAAAAAAAGGTTTATACTGGAATGATACATAGAAAAAAATCATTAAAAAAATTAACTAAAAAACTAAGTGGGCCTATCCCTCCGCCCCTGAATACAATCTTACATACCAAATATGTCAATTAAAACCATTTGCCGCTACACGTTATAACAATTCAAACAATCCCACTACATCAAAACCCTTTCGAAGTTGCACAAATTCCATTACTGAAAGCGTGTGAAAATGATGAATGTAACGAATAGTCGAACCTGAAGATTATTGTAGCGATTGAAGGTCTTTTGGCATATGTGACAAGAAAAATGAGTGAAGCCAACCAGGATTTGTTCAGAAGTTGGTATCCAATATTGGGTTTCTGCAGCTAAATTTGCAGCTTTACTGCCTTGATCACTTGAATTCAAAGAGCAATTGGTGCAGTTTGGAGGGCCAATGTGCAAGGAAACATTAATGGCGTCCTCTTCTTCTTCATGGCCTGGATTAGGGTTTTTGAGATCCACTTGATCCATTTCATTTTTTTCCTTAAAGAAGTCAAATGGCTCAATTTCTTTGTGAGAATTGTTGGTACTGGAGAAGAAAGAAAAAGGGCTAAATGAAAAGCCTGAAGCATCCATGTTCTGAATGCTGTTGGTTTTTGTATTCAAGGTCTTCCTTCTTATAAAGAGAAAATGTAACCTTCGTTGAAGGGTTGGTTTGTATACAAGTTATGGTAAAAATATATATTCAGTATGAATGAGATTGAAGGATGGTGGGGTGGGGTGGGGTGGAGTGGGGGATTGGTTGGTGAAAACTACCTTGGTTAAGGAGATAGTTAATCTCTGCTGTTTGTTCATAATACCTAGTTTTAGTTAAAAAAGCAACAACCTTAGTTAATGTCTTAATTAGCGTATTAATTAGTGTGGCCCGGTCAATTTCCAAATTTTGCAACAGAAAAACTGCAGTGAGTTTGATTTTAGTGTCACAATCCACATTTGGCCTTCCTAGACTGAGATGTTATGTCACAAACGGGATAATATTAAGTCTTTATTTGGTCCTCGTTTTTTAAAAATTATTTTTTGAAAAAATCATTTTCAACTATATATTTAGTGGGACCCACAAATTTGATCATTTTTTATCAATATTTATTAAACATCTGATTTTTATATAACCCCCTATTTGACACACATTCTCTAAAAATACATTATTTCAAAATTCATTTTCAATCACACATTTTTCAATAAAATAATATTTTTAATCATATCAACAATTTTTTCTTACTTTTGAACCACATATTTCCCTTCATATCACTATTTAAAATATATTCTTTCCTTAATAATATCAATCAAACGCACCCTAAATAATACAGGAGCTAAGTTGTTGTGGAGGTAATTTTTTTTTACTGGCACCATTTGTACAACAAAATGGTTGACACACAGGTTGACATACACTCACAATGGGGGGTT